GACCAGCGGCACTTCTTCACCCTCAGCGTCAAGACGGAGTCGGGCACCAAGAACCTGCGCATCCAGTGCGAGGGTGGCAGCTTCTCCCTGCAGAGCGACCCCCGCAGCAGCCAGCCCATGCCCCGCTTCGACTGCGTGCTCAAGCTGGTACATCACTACATGCCACCCACACCCTGCGCCGTCCCCGAGCAGTCGGGGGAGGCCCTGCACCCCAAACGCACCTACTATATCTACTCGGGTGGCGAGAAGATCCCCCTGGTGCTGAGCCGCCCGCTCTCCTCCAGCGTCTCCACCCTGCAGCACCTCTGCCGCAAGACCGTCAACGGGCACCTGGACTCCTATGAGAAGATGACTCAGCTGCCAGCTCCCATCAAGGAGTTCCTGGACCAGTACGATGCCCCCCTCTAAGGGGCCAGCGCAGCGAGATTACACGCTACAAGCACAAGAGCAGGGGACAGACACAAGGCCCCACCGGTGCAGGGACTCACAGGGCACACCAAGCCTCTTCCTCTGGGAACAAGAGGAGGGGGACTGGGGTGAGCCGTGGTGGGTCTGGAACTGGCACCCTTTCTGCTGGGGGACCCCTCCAAGGAAGTGGCTTCCCCTTCCATGGCAGAGGAGCCTGCTCCAGTCGGACAGTGGATGTTACAGTGTGCTCAGTGTCGTGGCCTCCCCACCATGGCCGGAAAGAGCCTGTTGGCAAAGCCAGGGCAGCACCCAGGACATGGGGGCACACACACCCCAAAAGCCACATCCCTGCCACCATGGCAGGACCACTCCTGGGGGTCCTGGCAAGAAGCCCCCTCTGCCACCAGAGAATGGAAGTGCTGAGTCCAGTAGTGCCTGATCACTTTTCCTCAGTTTTAAGGGGAAAGTGTTTTTTTTTCCCGTACTGTACTTTACCTCTTGCTGCCTCCTTGTGGGTGGAAGCTCCTTTCACACCAGGCCCCAGACTTGGAGGTCGCTGCCTTTCCCCCCTCGTTGCTGTTTTCTGGGGGATTAAGCCTTAATGTTCTCCCTGCCCCATGGTCTGGGTTGCTGCACATCGTTTGGTGACACTGCGCGATAACAGTCCCGGTGACGTGCCGTGAAGCCCGAGGGGAAGCAGCGTGTCCTGGTGCTGCGGAGTCCCATATGACCACGACTGCCAGGAGCACCCCAAGGACCCGGTGTTGCTGCTGGGCTGTTACTTCCCAGTGTCACACCCCACCTCTGCCCAGCCGCTCCCCGGAGACCTTTGTCATGCCGCTCCGTGGCAGCACCAATTCCCACAGGAACGTGGCCAAAGGATCCCCTGGAGTGCATCATCTTGTGAGCGCTTTTCTGTGTCTGCCTGGAGAAGCGGTTGGGTTTTTCTGGCTTTTTTTTTATTATTATTATTATTATTTTTTAACCAAAGGGATGTTTACAGGCCAACGTGAATCACTGTCTTTTATAAAGATTCCATCTTCACCTCCAGCCTCGAGGGCTGAGCAAAACCATGCTTGAAAATTCAACCAAAACAAAACTCAGATGAAACTTTGCACATATTTATATTTATATTCGGAAAGGAAATGTTTCCATAATTTATAATAAAGAGCACTATTTTTTAATGAAAACCCCCAGCTCTGGTTTGTTTCCTCCCCTGCGCTCCCGAGGCCGCTCGGGCCCCCCGCAGTGACGCACGTCCCACGGCCGCTGCCCTCTCTGCAACGCCGATGCCGGGATGGTGTTTACACCACGTAAGCGCCGGTTTCCTGGAGCGGCTCCGGGCTCGGGGGTGATCCCGCGCCGTGACTCACAGCCCGGTGTGCGTAAGCGCTGCCCCAGCGCTCAGGTACGTCCGAGCCCCGCCGGCTCCGCGGGGGCGGGAGTGCCCACAGCCCGGTTTCGGGAGGGGAAGATGGAGGAGGTGGGAAAAAGAGTTTATGGTGTCTCTGCCGCGAGTGCAGCGGGCTCAGGGCAGCGGGTAAGCAGGGAGGCTGAAGTCCTGCTGCCTATCACGTGCAGTTAAAAACTGTCCCCGAGCCAGGGGGTCCATCCTGTGCCCCCTGAGCCAGGGGAGCTGCCATGGCCCAGCCTGGCCCAGAGCAGATGTCCAAGGAAGGGTACAAGAGGAGGAGAGTGAGGGTTTCCTCAGAGACCTCTCAGCCCCCAGCAGCCCCCCACTCTTGCCTCCAGCAGAGGCACCTCCGTGAGGGCGTGAGCCAGCCCTGGGAATGAGCCCGCAGCTCCAGCTGCCTGGAGGGAAGGAGATGCCCAGCTGGAGACCTGCATCCAGGGGCGGGGGGGAATCTCCTGGGAGGGTCCAGCCCCCTGCAACCCCACAGAGCACCCACAGTCCCCCAAAATGAGCATTGTGCACTGTGCTTCCACCAAGGGAATCCCAGCTCCTGGGAAAAGACTTCCCTTGGGAATTGCCCCAGAGCAGATAGATGGTGAACCTGCCCACTCAGGCCACAGGCACGGTATGATCCCAGAGGCTTATTTTGGTGCTGCTCTCTGAGGCTGTGGCTCACCAGCTGCCAGGAAGCGCCGCGGCCTGCCCGGGCACCCGTCGGCACTATGTGAGGAATGTCCACGCGCACGGGTGGCCGCCCGCCAGGCCCTGCCGAGGCACATCCCCAACGTCAGGGCTCCGGTGGCTCCCAGCCCCACGCCAGGGATTGGGTGGGAGCAGCGCTGAGGGGTGGAGCAGTCCCTCGCCTGGAGGGAGCATCAGCCTTGTGGCACCCACAGCAGCTGGGAAGGACCTGGAGCATCACAGCTCTGGGGCAGGTGATGGCACAGAGGGGATGGGGCACCTGAGCACCCCCAGCACCCTGGCAGAGTTGGGGATCCCACAGTGTGGCAGATGGGAAAGTCTGTCTGCAGTTGCCCTGCCCAACTCCCCCCAGACAGACCCCAGCCCTGCCAGAGCAGCCCTGGCTTCACCACTTCCCAGAAGGGCCCCGTGGTTCGGGGGCCTCTTCCCTCCTGCTCCAGCTGCAGCAGTGCTGCAACCCAGAACTGAGAGTCCGGGAAGCTCCGCCAGTCCTGTGGGTTTCTTGGAACAAACCCAACCCCACGGCAGCAGTGACGCAGCAGCTGGCGGGCAAATCCCTGCCGAAGGTTTCACAAACCTCTTGCCTTCTCCAGAGAAGCCGAGCGGACTTGGCCCCGCGTTTCGTAAGCAGCTGATTCAGTGCATCAGGGGCAGCCAGTTCTGCTCTGCACAGTGCCGGAGCTGGACCTGGCTGAGCTCACCCTGCCAAGGCGTCCTGGATGGGGAACTGGACCCTATTGCTCCATGGTAGTTCTGGGAGCTGGACAGGAAATAGGGTAGAAGCACAGGGAGCAAGGAAAGGGGCTGGGACACCATGATCCTGCAGCTGCCCCCACTCCATGTCTCCAGGGCTGGGCAGGTCCATGGAGCTGGGCACGACCCACAGACCATGGCCAGAGGGAAGTGACACCACACAGTACACCCTTGGAGTGTACCCTTGGGCTGGCTCAGCCATCACCCAAGAGACCAGTCACCCAGCAGACTCTCCTGTCCTTGCATCCAGGACTCGGCAGTCACCCTGAGGAAGGTGGCAGTGAGCAGCAGCACCGGGGCTGCCCAAAGCTCACCATGAACACCCCAACCTCGCGGCACACCCCTCATGCACTTCCTCCTGCCTCTGCTCTGCAGCGCCAGGACATTCCCACATCCACCGCTGCGTTTCCCAGTAGGATGCAGGAAAGGGCTGTGCAGCAGCTGGGGACTTACTGTAAATGTCACCACCTGCTCCTTACATGGCAGTTCCTCGGCCGGCCAGGGCCACAGGGACAGTTGAGAACAGGGACACTGACATCTGTTCCCTGCATGTGCTGCCAGGAAGCAGGAGCTCAGGCTCTGCAGCACAGCCCCGGGGCTGGTGCCAGATGCCCCAGCTGGGGGCTTGGGGTGGGTGATGGCCTCATGGTATGGCACGAGACCCCTGGCCCCGCTACTGGCTTGAATTGCTGGTCTGGAGGAGGCAGAGCCCGGGTGGCCAGGGCAGCTGCAGAAGCTGCCCTGAGCCCCCTCATCGCATGCCAGGTTTGCCCCCTGGCTGTCCCTGACCCGGGCATTGCTGTGAGCAGGCAGGGAGCACAGCAGGACTCCTGTGCCCAGGCCAGGGTGTATTTTGGGCTTCAGATGAGCCCTGTATATGTCCCCATGGAAACTCTTCTCTGTTGCTGCTCTTCCAGCCAGACCCGTGGCCAGCTCTGAGGGAGTCAGCAGCTGTGGATTCCTCACTCCTTCCATCAGCAGCTCTGCACGGCCACACTGCCCCCGCCCCCCCCGCCGCCCCATACACCG